CACACACACACACACACACACACACACACACACACACACACACACACACACACACACACACACACACACACACACACACACACACACACACACACACACACACACATACATCTGTGGGTAGTGCCAGGGCTCGCCGCCTAACCATCGTACCAAATATATAAGGCTCCCAACCGTAGTCTAGGAAAACTTAGATCCTGGTGCGCTACGTGACACCCTCATTTCAGATGACATCTATATTATGCCGCTCGTACCATCTCGTCTCTTGCTTCGGTTCAACTCGCATGTGAATCTTGTTTGTCATGTTTTACGCATTTCTTTTCTATTTTAATCATCTTGTTCTCTTTGCTACACGGCATTATTAGCCGCGTTCACACGTAGCAAGAAATCCGGTATTTACCGTTCACACGAGGTAAAATGCGCTGGTCAAGAAATACGGTATTTAAACAGATCCGGTATTGGATGTAAATACGCGGCTTCCCAGACTTCAAATAATTTGCCGTGCTTGAGAAATACCGGATCTCTTGGACCGCGCATTTCCTCGTGTGAACACTAAATACCGGATTTCTGAAGCCGCGTATCTTATAGACTGGTCCGCGCTCGACAGTTCTAGTGTAACGCGAGTGGAACTGTCGAGCGCGGACCAGTCTACGTATTTTATCGGAAGTTGGTGCGCATTGCATTGTTTATTTCGCATTGTTCGCTTGATTGTTTAAAGCAGCTCGCAGCTCGCAAATACCGTATTTCTGGAGCCGCAAATCAGCGTGTGAACGCTCAGCCGCGTATTTGTCTCAGATTCGGTATTTCGCAAATACAGTATTTCATAAATACGAGGTCTCCTGTGAACGAGGCTATACTTGCGCTTATTGTTGCACGCATTGTTTCACACTTCTTCCTCATAGTTACGATCCAAGAAACTCGCTGTTCGTGTGTGATGTATCATAATGTGAAATTCTTGTTGATTGACTCTGTTTTTTTTTTCGTGGACCTCAAACTCATGTAACGGGAATCTCAAGTGTAGATATAAAGTCGTGATCACTAAACGTCGTATTCATTCATTAACAGCAAGCGCATTTTTTCTACAAATAACCACGTGGCTCATTTAACGGTTAATTTATCGTCGAAATATGTTTAATCGTGTTTTTTTAATCGTGTTCTCTAAGTGGCCTTCTGAGGCTGACTGACTGTTGAGACACATTAGCTATACTTCGCGAACTTTCGCGCTGTCCAATCTCAGATATGTCGCATCTGATCGCCGCCTGAGATCGAACTATTAACATCATCTTCGATAAGGTAGTAGACGGGTCGTCTCGCCAGGAGCCTCACGTACGGGGCGTCTGCTTTCGCGAGTGGAATCACAGCCGTTCTCCTAGATACCATTGCAGTGAGTGTCACATACTGAGCAAAGTAACTGATGAACTTTCAGACCGTCAGCTGGTTTTATCCAAACTTCTGGAAGACCCCGGGTAACAAACCGCCTCCGAGTATACCTGTCTGCGGATTCTACAACGAGAAATGCCCAGTGGAAACCGGTGAGCAGTCGGAAAGTCTATATCCGTATATATCTTATGCGTGTCTCGCTCAGTACACACACGAAATCTAACTATTCCTCCATTGGTAATACCCTAACTAGCGAGGTCGCACACTATTTATTACCCTCAAATATGTCGTCGGCCATACCTGTCAAATAGACTCATCACATGATTGACAATTTATATTCACGTTGTTCGCAGCTGCATGAGTAATCACTATATTAATTATAGCGCGTTGCTGCTCTCTGTGCTTTTCATTTTCGACAGATGGAAGCATAATAAAGGTCATAGGTGGCGCGGTCGGCGGTACGATATTTCTGATAGGGGCGATTATTGCAAGCGTGCTGCTTCGGTATGTGCGCAATTTTACACACGACATTATATGGAAGACCTGAGACGACATGCGACTTTTTGAGTTTCCGAGTTTCTGAATTTCCGATCAATATATATATAGTATTGAGTGAGAGTCGTAGCAAATGTTTGAAGTCCCAACATGAACACATTGCGCATGCGTTATTCCGTGACATTAAAGCAGAGAGTCAGTCTAAATTTAGAATCGCCTACCGTGAGATTAAATGTGTTATTTAGCGGAAAATATTATTTGAATTTAGAATCCCCTACGGTGAGAGTAAATGTGTGTTGTTTTAAGCGGGAAAGAACAATTTAAATTTAGAATCCCCTACCATAACAGTAAATGTGTGTTCTATTAAGCGGGAAAGCATAGGGTCTAATTTAAATTTAGAATCTCCGTCATAACGCGTGCGCAGGGTGTCTGTTTTCGACTTAAAAACATTTCTCAATGTGTGTTCTCACGTATTTACAATCTTCCCTGTGTGACCTTTGCTTGACTTCCATCTCTAGTACTAATTACGATTCGAAATTCAGAAACTCGAAAACTCGGAAACTGAAAAAGTCGTATGTGTCGTTTCAGGGCTCCCATAACATTACGTTAGTTTAAACACAATTTCGCAGCAACACAATACGAACGAATGTCTGGTAATAGCTTGCATGTAAACGGCCAGTGCATGTTAGCTTTCAGCACACATATAAAAGACTTTCGTCTACCCTTTGCCTTTCACCTAACATTTCCCTCGCCCTCACACGTTTACCCTCCCATTTACCCTCATACTCACATCTCCCACATGTCCTCATACTCTTACCATGGGCCACCATTACCTCATATAACCTCGCGCACCTATCGCCTAGCTTACTGTAACCCTATTACTCTTGTACCTCGTTTACATTCACACGCTTACATACCGTTTGCCATCACACTCTTACACTTACCCTAACCCTCACACTTACCCCCTCTCCTCCACACTCCTACACTTATCTATATTACCCGTACCCTTATACTTACCCGTACCCGTACCCTTACCTCCCCCTCGCTCCACACACGTACACTTGCCCGTACCCGTACCCTTACCTCCCCCTCGCCCCACACACGTACACTTGCCTATACCCGTACCCTTACCTTCCCCTCGCCCCACACACGTACACTTTCCCGTACCCATACCCTTACCTCCCCCTTGCCCCACACACATACACTTACCCGTACCCGTACCCTTACCTTCCCCTCGCCCCACACACGTACACTTTCCCGTACCCGTACCCTTACCTCCCCCTCGCCCCACACACGTACACTTGCCCGTACCCGTACCCTTACCTCCCCCTCGCCCCACACACGTACACTTGCCCGTACCCGTACCTTTACCTCCCCCTCGCCCCGGACACGTACACTTGCCCGTGCACTTACTCCTACCCGTAACCGTACCCTTACCTCCCTCTCGCCCCACACACGTACACCACGCCCGTGCACTTACTCCTGCCTGCTCCCCATCCTCCGCCCTCTCAGCACGCGATTGCCGTTGCAGACGCAAGCAGAACGAGGAGCAGCTGATGCTGATGCAGTGGAAGCTGAAGAGCGACGAGATAACGCCGATCGACACCAAGCAGTTGCGAGCCTTCAGCTCGAACTCAGTCAGCATCGTAAGTACCGCAGCGTCAGCGACAGCGTCAACGTTAGCGTCGCGGCTGTCGGTGGCGTCCGTGTCGTGGATGTTGACGTCAGCGTCAGCGTCCCCGTCGTGGCCGCTGTCGTCAGCGTCGTGGCTATTGTTGTCGTTAGCGTCGCGGACGTTGACGTCAGCGTCAGCGTCGTGGCTGTTGGCGTCAGCGTCGTGGCTGTTGGCGTCAGCGTCATGGTCGTGACTGTTGGCGTCAGCGTCGTGGCTGTTGGCGTCAGAGTCAGCGTCGTGGCTGTTGGCGTCAGCATCAGCGTCGTCGCTGTGGTCGGAACTAGTATAGGTGTGTTGGGAGTCGTGGCTGTGGTTGGATATGGGAAACTTTCGTGTATAGCAGACGTGACAACGAGCGCTTCTCTCATATATCTCATTATACATTATATCATATATTATATATTATTATGTACTATTATTATATTATTATATCATTACATCATTATAATACGTAGTAAACACGTTAACACGTAAATCGGTCGCCCCTCGTCATCGCGTGTTGACGCGCTGCGTTGTTCGCACATGTTGCAGACGGCCGCCTCGCTAGAGGACACCCAGGCGGCCGAGCACAGCCTGCGACAGAAACACGAGGCGCTGCTGTCGCGTCTCTATATGTGTCGCGGTCGCATGGCCGTACTGAAGCGGCTCACGCGCGAGCAGTTCCACGTGCCGCGAGAGGAGCTGCTGCTGCTCAAGGAGGTGACGTCACATCGGCTCACGTGATCTAACGGACTGGGAGCACTGATCTCTAACATTGATCTCATACATTGTCTGATACATGTACATCATCGTGTATGACAATCATATGATATGGGTCATGTGTGACCCTACATTGTATAGCTGGATACATATTGGTAGAAACATGTAAGAAGACATGTAAGAAACTCTAACTTATAGAGTTTGTATAATAGAGATCAGTGGCTGGGAGAGGTTATCGTTCATTGTGTTATTTCTGTAGGATTCGGCGCTGCGTTCGAATATATTTCGTTTTTATTTTCGACGGGAATGCTTGTGTAGAGACAACGCATATTAATATGGCGGGGATAGCGTGAGGGATGCGGTCCTGGAGGTCGTTGTCAAAAATAAAATTAGTCGTAACAATAGTCTTAACATTAACATTTTACCTAAGACCGCTGATAACAGAAGCATCGTAGAGTTTCGAGAATGAGAAATTCTACAAAATATCCGCCATAACTTTGCAAAACAAAATTCAGTAAAAAGTCTACGAGAAAATTTTTATTGTCAAGGCTAATGTTAATACTAATTTTGTTTCGCATTGCGACGCCTTGTTTAACTTTTGCGTCGATGGTGGTTTAACAGTGAGTAAGATAAAGTAATTTGATTAGAAGGTGGAATGGTTTATGAGTGAGGAGGTCGGGTTGCTTGAGGCGGCAGATCGCTGGGACGATGGGGAGGAAAGAAAGCGAGAGAGGAACGTGGGAAAAGAAAATACAGCAACCGAGTAGAAGAACATAGAGTAGAGGGAAGAAATAGTCGGAGAGGAAAGAAGAAAGGAGGTGGTAAGGCGGCGAAGGCGGAGGCGGGACATGGAGAGCTAGGAAATGAAGAGGAGATGGGAAGACGTATGCGGGAGATATCGATAATGGAGGGCAGAAAAATAAATGCTAAGAACGAATGATGATGAGGAGGATAAGGAATACAGGGAGGAGGAGAATGGGAGGAGAGGAAAGAGGAGGTAGAGGAAGATGAGAATGACGGATAGAGGAGAAGGATGAAGAGTAGGAGGAGAAGGACGGGAAGAAGGAAGGAGGAGGAGGAGGAGGAGAAGGACGGGAAGAAGGAGGAAGAAGGTGAGAGGAGTAGGCAGGATAATGATAATGAGGGGCAGGAGGAGGAGTAGGAGGAGAAAGGAAAGGAGGAGATGTAGGCGTAGGTGGCACGTGAGAAGGACGAGGAGCAGAACGAGTGGGAGTAGCAGCAGTTGTTTACAAATGAGTCTCGCACGTCATCGCTGTCATCCTTAACAGCTGAAGGACATGTCACACGACAACGTCAACCTGTTCATCGGCATGTGCATGGAGGGCGACAACAGATCGATCGTGATGGAGTACTGTAACAAGGGAAGTCTATACGACATACTCGAGCACGAAGACACAAAGCTAGACTGGAACTTTCGTTCCTCCTTCATCTTCGACCTCGTTAAGGTAAACCCCCTATAACCATCTGTATCTCCTTTCACCATATAAGAGCGACACGGGAAAGCTTTTAACGTTAAATAAATCTACACGCCGAGGAAGCCGTATAGATTTGCGACGACCGTAGGCAATGCACGTCGTCGTCGTCGTCACCACGCACGAGTGTCGCATTTCGTTTTGTCGCCGCTAGGGCATGGAGTACCTGCACACGACTCAGTTCCTCAGCTCTCACGGCCGCCTGAAGTCAACTAACTGCGTCATCGACTCGCGCTGGGTGCTGAAGATCACCGACTACGGACCGCACTACTACACGATCCCGCTAGACACGGCCGAAGCCTACATGGACAAGAAATGTGAGTGCCGGAGGCAAGAGTCAGTGTTAATATAGACGCGTACACGCGATTTACGCGGTACCCGGAGAGTGGAACTCGCGTGGAGGGGGATAGATATAAATATGTAGAGAATGCCTGTACAATGCGTGGGGAAACGTAGCCAGCAATGTACATACGTGGCCAAGAAAATACGTATCCTTTTTTGCTCCTGTTCGCGTTTTTCTTTGTTCTAAAACAGCAGCGCTAGCTATCAGGTGTACAGTTCACGTGTTTATCGCTCCTGTTCGATGCTACACCAGCGCTGCTGTGGGCGGCCCCGGAACTACTTCGCACGCCGACACCGCCCTACCAGGGCACTCATAAAGCCGACGTCTACAGCTTCGGTATCATCCTATCTGAGATCATCATCAGGGCAGCTCCGTACGACCACAACAACAAGGAATTCGATGGTAAGTATCGCCTCGGTGATAATGCGACCGACATATCCTTACCTTACCTTACCTTACCTTACCTTACCTTACCTTACCTTACCTTACCTTACCTTACCTTACCTTACCTTAACTTAGCTTGGCTTAACTTACCTTACCTCACCTTACCTTAATTGAGCTTACCTCAACTTAGCTTGGCTTAGCTTACCTTACCTTAACTAAGCTTACCTTAACTAAGCTTACCTTACTTTTACTTAGCTTACCTTAGCTTACCTTTACTTATCTTACCTTTACTTATCTTACCTTAGCTTACCTTTACTTAGCTCACCTTAGCTTACCTTTACTTAGCTCACCTCACCTCATCTCATCTCACCTCGCCTCGCCTCGCCTCACCTCACCTCGCCTCGCCTCGCCTCGCCTCGCGTCGCTCTACGTCGTAACCCGTCTCACTGTGAAATTCGTTCGTCTGCTCGCCATGCTCCCGCTCCGCGCGCGCTCGCCAGAGATCGTGCAGCGCGTTGAGCTTCGGGAAACGCCGCCGTATCGTCCCGTACTGAACGACGCCGACCGCACGCAGTGCCCGGAGTCGCTCGTGCGCCTGATGCACCAGTGCTGGAGCGAGGAGCCGGAGAGGCGACCCAGCTTCTTCGCCATCCGCAGGGAACTGAGAAACGTGTTCGGCGACAAGTAAGTGCTCCGTTGTTGGTGGGGTCGAGAAGAAAGAGGAGGAGGAGGAGGAGGAGGAGGAGGAGGGAGGAGGAGGAGAGGAGGGTGAGGAGGAAGAAGAAGATGGGGGATGAAGAGGGATAGGAGGAAGAAAAGGAAGAGGAGGATGAGAAGGAAACGGGGGAAGAGAAGGAAGAGAAGGAAGAGAAAGAGGAATAGGAGCAGGAGGTGCAGAAGAAGGAGGAAGAAGGATAAGGAGGAGAAAAAAGAGGGGAAATAAATACTTGAGAGGTACAAAGTCAAAGGGTTATGCCTCCTGGTTATTACAGCACGATATCTCTTTCGCAGGATCTTTAAACACACGTCATCACACGCATGTCACCATCCGCTCACAACAACGCCCTCTTGCGGTTACAGGTCTACGAACATCATGGACAATGTTCTGAAGATGATGGAGACGCACGCCAACAATCTGGAGAGCACGGTGAACGAGCGCACGAAGATGCTGATAGAGGAGAAGAAGAAGACGGACGTGCTGCTCTATCGTCTGCTGCCCGCGTGAGCTTCTAAACCCCTTCCTATTCCTCACCCTAATTCTCTCTATTGCGCGCTCTCTCTTTCTCCCTTTATTGGGCGCGTGCGTGCGTGGCACGTGTGTGTGTGCGTGTGCGTGTGCGTGTGCGTGTGCGTGTGCGTGTGCGCGTGTGTGTGTGTGTGTGTGTGTATGTGCGTGTGTGTATATGTGCGAGTTTGTCTCTCTGACTGGCTGACTGGTTGGCTGTTTGCCTGCTTGCCTGCCTACTTGCCTGTCTGAGTTTCTATTTTTCTGTCTATTTGATTGTCAATTCGACGGCCACTCTGTCTGTACGTCTGTTCATTTGTATGTTTGTCTTTCTCCATCGTTTTTCATTCTTTTACGATAATTGAGAAACTTCACTGGAGTTATAAGACTTAACCAGTAAGGTTGCCCGGGCCAAGTTATACGCTATTAATGCAGGCTCCATAACTAACGGAAGGACAAGTAGGGGGAGAATTGCACTCCCCCCAAACCAATGTAGATTTTATTACCTGCATGGTCAATGACGAACGGCAACATGAACAAACACCGTATGCGGCCTTCGCGGGGCAAAATGAGTTAGCCACGCCCCTGTAAATTATATTGAGCGTGATGATTCTGAAACAGTATCCGGTACACGCACGCACGCACGCACGCACGCACGCGAGCGCTCACAGCTTTCGTGTTATTGTCGCTGATAATGGCGTGAGGCCCTCGCGAGATTTCATGACTCATTGCCGACGCGATGGCGAACTCGTCTGTCCGATTACCGAAAAGTGAACGGACAAAGGAACAGTGGGCGAGTGCAGGTCACCGCTTCTGTACGGAAACACTAACAGCTTATTCAGGCGATAGCGGGAAGCAATCGATCGAGCCACGTTCTAAATCTTCACACATTCTATCGATGCACGTGTCGTCACTCGCCTACGCTACGCCTGTGAAAAATCACAGCGAGCGTTATCGATTCGGGATTTTTTTCACGATTTCTTGCTTGAGTATGATTATCTATCTTTCAGTGCGTTTCCGGAAAAAGTGTTCGGTTATATGTACATGCAACCGTGTGCAGTGGTTCTATTGCGCGTATTGCTTCTACTACTAGCTACATTCGTCTATTGCTTCTACTACTGCTCATGGTTTCTGTACGGGTTTAAGATTGAGTACGCGAACGCAAGTTTCAGCCTCGCTTCCTGTGCGGCAACGTACCAGTTGTGGACTATTGAGGTTTTGAGCTATGTTAAACTGTTTAGCGTTGCATTCACTTACGCAAGTTTTCCTTTTATATAGAATATCACCAACCACGAGTTACCCATAAACGTGTCACCCACCCACGTGCCACCCACCCTCGTTCAGGTCAGCGGTCAGTTCGTTTCTATGGTTACCGCAGGACGATCGCAGACGCGCTGAAGTTCGGCCGCGACGTGCCGCCGGAGACGTACGAACAAGTGACCATCTTCTTCTCGGACATCGTCGGCTTCACGAATATCTGTTCGCAGAGCACGGCGCTGCAGGTCGTCGACCTTCTCAATGACCTCTACAGCACCTTCGATGCCATCATCAAAAGCCACGATGCCTACAAGGTATCGTCATCGTCGCACGGGCAATACACGGAAGTGATCAATTGAACAATCGATCAATTGCTTGTCAATCGATCGATTGATCAACGGATTGGGTAATCGATCAATCAATCAAAAAACAAAACAAATAAACAATTAGGTATTGTAGTTGTATGAATGCATGTTATCAATTAACTTATCAATCAGGTAACTAATTAATCGATCAAAACATTCCTCAATCTATTCATCAATAACTTCCCTCCCCCCCCACACACACACACACGCATCCAGCCTCATCCACACTGCTGACGCCAGACGGCGCTGTGCTACCTGTGACAGGTGGAGACTATAGGCGACTCGTACCTGGTCGCCAGCGGCCTGCCGAAGCGCAACGGTAGCCGACACGTCGCGGAGATTGCCGACATGTCGCTAGGCATGATGGTAGAAGTCAAGACCTTCCGTATCCGCCACATGCCCAGGTTTGTCTTCTGCCTCTTTTTAGATGAATAAATAATTACTAATCAATTAAATATATATAAATATATATGTGCGTATATATATATATATATATATATATAATATAATGTATATATACATACAGTTCATTTAAATTATTTTCATTAATTAATTAACCTCATTTTATAGTAATTTAATAATTATTTAATTATTTAATAATTTATGCATGTACACTGTTATAAGTTATATATTATAATATATTTTGTGTGATACTGTATGTGAAATTAAATTAATTTATTAAATCGAAATGTGAATTATTTCTTCTATTATTTTTCCTGCATGTTTTCCCTATAGTTGTCGCAGTGTTAGCGTAGCGAGTGTGAGCGTGTAATTCGTGCGTGCAGGACGCAGATGAAGATGCGCATCGGGATCCACACGGGCCCGTGCGCTGCAGGCGTCGTCGGCTCAGCGATGCCTCGCTACTGTCTGTTCGGCGACACGGTGAACACGGCCTCAAGGATGGAGTCGAATGGCGAAGGTATGCGCATGCACGAAACATGGTGTGAACGAAGCCGACGTGTGTACGTGTGTGTGTAGTGTGTGTGTGTGAGCTGTGCTGTGTGTGTGTTGTGCGTGAGTGCGGGCGTGGTGCGTGCGTTGCGTGGTGCGGTGCGTGCGCGCTTTGTGTGTGTGCTGTGTGCGTGCTGCGCGTGTATGCGGTGTGTGCGTGTGTGCGTGTGTAATGTGCGTCTGAATTTCCGCGTGTGCATGTGCATCTGTGCGCGTGCTTGTGTGCGTGTGCATGTGCGCGTGTGTAACGTGTATGTGCGTTCTGCGCCTGTGGGTGTGTAGATTTTGTTATGTGCGCGCCTGTGGTGTGTGTGTGTGTGTGTGTGTGTGTGTGTGTGTGTGTGTGTATGTGTGTGTATGTATNGTGTGTGTGTGTGTGTGTGTGTGTGTGTGTGTGTGTGTGTGTGTGTGTGTGTGTGTGTGTGTGTGTGTGATGAGTGAATGAATGGCCAAAGGAATAATAATATGCACGAACGCTGCATGAACAGGCGAGTGGCTTACACGCAGCGTTATACATATAGACTAACTAATCAATCAGTCCACGCCTGCATCTGAACCTAGCATCTTCCTCAGCTTCCGCATTATTTACACTCCGCATCCTTAGATTGAATTACGCGTAACCTCAGTAACAACCGACATTTTATTCGTAGATCTTTATCTCCACGTTCTATCTCGCTGTCTCCATGTCTTCCTCTCTTTCCTTGATCCCTTTCTTTTTTGCTCTCTCGCATTCATTATCTTTCTCTTTTCTCTCTTTTTTTCTCTCTCTCTTTCCCGCGCTCTTTCTCGCTTTCTCTTTCTCTCTCGCTTTCGTTACATCTCTTTCTTTTCCTCTTTCTATTTTTCTCTCTCTCTCTCTTTCTATGTTCTCTCTTTCTCTCTCTCTCTCTCTTTCTCTCTCTCTCTCTCGTCGTACGTACGTACGTACGTTA